ACTCCGGTGGTGAATTCGCATCGTCCGTTCCACGGACTTGTGAACACATAACCACGAAAACTGGTTTGCCTATCCGAGACCTGGATGCTAGCATATGACTGGTCTTGCCTAGTCACAAATGGAGGGGTCGGAGAAGGTCTCATGTCTCTCGACGTAGAGTTGGCATGCGCGTGGTAACTCCCCCTTGAGTCAGGACGTCCGGTATCGTAGTCATACGAACTGAGCTTCCGATGTCCAAAGCCGCCCATATGCTGCGATCCTTCCATCCAAATGCGTCGACGGAACACGTTCTCGTTCGTAGACAGATGAGCCCCCGTCTGCTGTTCTGACCCTGCGTTACGTGACTGGATAGACATGCCACTGTCCCGTGTTGTTAAAGGGGGCTTGTCAGTAGTGTCGGAATGCAGAAATTTTGAGTATCCAGGATTGAAGACTTCGATATACATCGGTGCTCCCATCTTCTTCTTGATGCTAGGATCATTCAATGTCGACGAGACATCTATGACAGGTGGATCCTCAATGCGAGCAACATTCCATTGCGCTCCAGATGCGGGGTCTCGCCGGATAAGGGTGAGCGATGCACTGGAGCGTGACGGGTTCTCCGATCGTCTACGTGGCGAAGCTGTCGGTCGTCGGTTTTCCTGTTGGTACTGGCTTGCATCGAATGAGCGTCGTGGGCTGTGGCTATACTCTGGGGCGAGCATTGCAGATCTCCGCGCATAGTTGCCTGCATCAGTGTTCTGGTTGTTGGAGTAATTATTGATAGGCGCCAGAGGGCTAGGAACGGGCTTCCGTATGGGAGCTGTGTTTATGCCGGGTACTGCTTTCCTTGGGACGATGGGCGCAGAGACGGGATTAGAAGACAGTTGGCTCTCTTGCGCATAATCTGGATCTTGGAATCCAGGAGGGTCGACAAGGTAAGCATCTTCTGGTTGCTCAACGTGGACGAAATAGAGTGAGCTTTGTATGTCTTCTGCGGTCACCACCTTTTCCCGCGGCTTCATCGGAGATAAGAAGACATCTGAAGCACGTTAGGTTTACTGTAGGAGAAGACATGTTGACAGCCGTACCTCTGCTGCCAGGAACACGGGCGATGTACAGTACTAGCGGGTCATGCCTCTCATGAGTAGGATTCCTTGGGTAAGCTGGTGGATTTGAGGCAAGAGCGGTAAGCGATGAAAGAGATCTGGCTTCGATGATCGGCGTGGCCATTAGAGCGAAGGTGTTAGCAGTTTTGATATGTGAGATAGCGCTGAGTATATGGAGTTGTCAGGTGATTGCCAGCAGGGCGTTGCCTAGGATATATACAAGGCGACGACGGCGAGGTTGTGCTTGGGCTCGGGTGGCTGTGCGTACGCGTCTCCACCGACTATCATGTACAACAAATGAATTGTCTTGGCCTATCGTTGTGAAGCGCGAGAGGCAAGCGGATCTGACAGACGCGCATCATCCATGGACTCGCGGCACCTTGCCGGCAGCGAGGCTGATGCTGGTGAAAGAGCACGCGAGTCTGCTTCGCGTTAAGCCTGAATGGTCGGTGGCTGGGGCGGCGAGGGTCTATTGGCGGGTGGGTCTGATCTTGGAAGGGCCCTAGCGCTGAAAGTCTGCTCGAAATCTTGGCTTTCGTTTTGACCTCGATTTTCGCGACCCGCACACGACACGCTCGCCCCGCCAACTCTACGCCCTCTACCCGTCTGAAACAGGACATATCACATTACGAAAAGGATCCTACGTCTAGTGTCCTCGCAATGGGCGACAATCTCGAGGTATGCACCGGGCCCGCCTCCTGTCGCTCGCTCTCGCCGCTAACTGAGAGCTGCAGGAGCGTCTAAAGAGCCATGCTCGTGCCTTCGAGGGACTCATGTCTCTGATACCCGCCAAAGACTACTATGGCAAGGATGAGAGCATCACCAGCGTATGCATCTTTTCACCTTAGGCATCCACCTTATGCTGACATGAAGTTCGCAGACGCAATGGCAAAAGAAAGGCAAGAAGCAGACTCTTGAAGAACGACAAGCAGCCAAGCGAGCGAAGCTGGATCCTGCCTCCCATAAGAGCGCCAAAGACGTCATGGACGAGAACGCGCTAAAACGGAAGCGTGAATTGGAGGGTGAGGAGGTTTCCGAGCCCGAGTCGTCCGACCTTGATATGGACATCACAAAGGAGAAGCCTCTTGAGGGCATCAAGAGCAAGGCAAAGAAGCAAAAGACACAGCCTGCTGAGCCAGAAGCCGAAGAGACCGAAGAAGTCACTCTGTCCAAGGCCGAGGCCAAGCACGCGGCGAAAGCAGAGAAGCGGAGAGAAAAGAGGAAGGAGAAGCAGGCCAAGAACAAGCAAAAGCTGGAAGCGAAGAAAGCGCTACCAACGCAGTTCCAAGGTCTCGCCGCCGAAAAGCCTGAAAAGGACGATGACGAGGATGAAGACGAAGACGAAGAAGACGACGCGTCTGCAGACGAACTCGAACATCCAGACGAACGCATAGAGGCCTTGGACGTCTCCGGTCTCGTCGAAGAGGGTCAGTCTACTGCTCCCTCCACTACTGCCAATTCCAACTCCTCCACAGCCTCCGTCGCCTCCGCCGCTTCGTCAAATTCTTCACTACCCCAGTCCGGTGAAGAAGCGCCACAGAAGAAGGCTAAGAAGCCATACACGATCGATCCGCAAAAACATGAGGATTTCCGCGCTCGGTTGAACGCGAAACTAGAGGCAATGCGCGCGGCGCGAAAGGCCGACGGCCCAGATGGACGCCCTGCACGCAACCGAGCAGAGTTGATCGAGGCGCGCAGGAAGAAGGAAGCCGAAAAGAAGGCCGCGAAGAAGGCCATGCGTCAGGATGCGAAAGAGGATGAGGCACGACAGCAAGCAGAGGAGCAGCTCGCACGGATAAGAGGCGGTTCGGGCTCACCTTCTGTATTCCCGGCGAGGTCGCCGGAGACTGAGCGCAACTTCAACTTCGGCAAGATTGCATGGGACGGCCAGCAGCTCGAGAGCAATCTCTCTGGATTCCTCGACTCCAAGAAGAAGAAGGGCAAGTCAGATGCGAAGACAGCACTAGAGGCTGCGCAAAAGAAACAGGCTCGCATTAACGCCTTCGACGAGGACAAGCGCAAGGATATTCAAGAGAAGGATCTATGGCTAGCGGCCAAGAAGAGAGCACAGGGCGAGAAGGTGTTCGACGACGTCAACCTTCTGAAGAAGAGCTTGAAGCGTCAACAAAAACAAAAGGACAAGAGCAAGCAAGAGTGGAAGGAGAGGCTCACGAACGTCGACCAAGGAAAGGCCGCAAGGCAGAAGAAGAGGGAGGAGAACCTCAAGAAGCGCAAGGACGACAAGGGTCAAAAGGGCAAAAAGAAGGTCAAGAAGCCTGGCAAGAAGGTCAAGCGACCGGGCTTTGAGGGAACATTCAAGGCGAGATGATCATGAGGCTGGGCGGATCAAGGTATATAAAAGGAAAGGGTGGCGGCATGCATACTATAGGCAGGCATTTGGCGTTTGATACCATATCATGGCAGGCATCGTATGAGCGTTAGGAGTATTATGATCTTGAATATTAGGTTGTCTTCTCTCGAGAATGTTTGTTCAATGCCAATGCTGTCTTGCAAATCAACAGTAATGCATCTAGTTAGACTTTATCACAATAGCACGTCCGTCATTTCCATGTTTCTCAGTGTCCTTTTGAACATGGACTCAGTGAGCTTGGTATTGTTTACTGATGCATTGACAAAAGAAATCTGACTGGCTGTGTCAGACGCAACCGCTCCTTATATGTACAGTAATTCCAAATCGCTCGCGTCCATTATCTGTAAGGCGCATCCGCACGAGCAGCTGCGGCAATCTCGGGCTCCCACTTGTCTCCGTTTGCTAGCAACTTCTCCTTGTTGTAAAGTAGCTCCTCGCGGGTCTCAGTCGCATACTCGGCATTGGGTCCTATATCATATTAGCACTTGATCCGCGTACTCAGGCAACGTGTCGACATACCCTCAACAATGGCATCGACTGGGCAGCTCTCCTGGCAGAGACCACAGTAGATGCACTTGGTCATGTCGATATCATAACGTGTGGTCCTCCTGCTACCGTCCATGCGCTCTTCGGCCTCAATTGTGATGGCTTGCGCAGGGCAGATGGCCTCGCAGAGCTTGCAAGCAATGCAACGCTCCTCACCGGTAGGGTACCGTCGCAGGGCGTGTTCGCCTCGGAAGCGGGGCGAGATAGGGCCCTTCTCGAATGGGTAGAAGATGGTGTATCTTCAGAAACGTCAGATTACCGTATTGCGAACAAGTGGCAAACGAGCAGTCTGCTCATTGGAGTACTCACGGTGGGCGGAAAAACTGCTCCAGCGACACATACATGCCACGGAACATCTCCATGAGCAAGAAGTACTTGCCGGCGCGGTCCAATGCACCTTCTCCTTCATCCCATCGCTTGGGCTTGGGTAACCGGAAGCCTGGCGGCGGGGGTCCTGCTGGGGTGGCGGCTCGGGATAGGGTGGTAGAGAAGAAGGCGACGGTGGCGGGCGAGGGGAGGCGTCCAGACGCGAACTGTGGTGACCGGAGCAGCGTGGCAGCTGGGCGGCTGCGTGCCAACATTGTCAATGGCTTTGCGCTGGCCATTGTGAGCGTGGTGGGGTCGCTGGCGGGTTGGGGGGTTGCTGGCGGATATGGAGGTTGTCGTCAAGCTCGAAACTTGAGGTCGTCGCTTGTAACGCGGAGGCTGCGATTGGCCGACAAGTCGAATGACGGCAACAACGGTAGGAGGCAACTCCGAGGTCAGAAATTTGACTCAGGTGATGTAGCAGGGTATATGAATGATTTCCAGGTCTTTCTCGGATATCCGTGTTACCTGTTGCGATAAGTCAAGGTGCGCCTGTTCACTCGTACGGAAATGCTTCTTGACGGCTGACTAACGTAATGTAACTTTAGTCTGAAGTTCTAGTCGAGCATCAACATCACCACCACCACCGACCTTGCTACCTCGCACGACGCACTCCTAAACCGTCCACCATGTTCCGAACAGCACTCCTCAGGTCCGCCCGGTCCGCCGTCCGCGCTGCCCCACGATGCCAGGCCGCAATGGCTCGCCCCGTTGCGCGAAGCTCCTTCGTCCAGCCAAAGCAAATGAACCCCTCCGTATACTTCCAGGCCGTACGATGCTACGCCGCGAGCGCCGGTCTGTCAAAAGATGAGGTCACCGGCAGGATAATGGACCTTTTGAAGAACTTCGACAAGGTAATGGTTATGCGACGGGAATTTTAGAAAGTGGCTAACGCAGAAGCAGGTCACCGATGCCTCCAAGGTAGCTACCAACCGCGCGTGAGGGATTGGAGACAAAGGCTTACATTTTGCAGCTGAACGCCGAATCGCACTTCCACAACGACCTCGGTCTCGACAGTCTGGATACCGTAGAGGTGGTCATGGCGATTGAGGAGGTTAGTCGGTCCGCGTACGATACACGGAAGGCAAATCTGACAGTGAGGCAGGAATTCAGCATTGAGATCCCCGACAAGGAGGCCGATGCCATCCACAGCGGTACGTTCAGATGCAGGGTCGGAGATATACATACTGATGATATCACAGTCAAGCAAGCAGTGGACTACATCATGGCCCAGCCCGATGGTGAGTCGCAACTTGAAAATCCCGAAGTTGCCCCAAACTAACACAACGCAGCTCACTAGATTATATTGGAGAGCCGCGCTGGATTGGAGATGATGGATGTGGAATTGAGAGTCGGTCCTACCGGCATCGCTATATATATGCCCCCGTGTAAAACAGTCGCCTGGGTCGGCACCGTGTACTTCTGATAGAATTGACGCTATCCACCTCCCAGTGCTTTGGCTATTGTGTTGTTGGACGCCTGTTTACTTGATCTCCGAAGCGTGCGTAACTAATCTTGGCACATCCGAGACCGACACCCTGTCCGCTGATTGATGTGGCACGAGAATCAACCCCCAACGCGTAACTCACACAGGCGCCTTGCGATACCCCTTATTCTTTACATCGCCGTGCCCGCTACTCTCTCCTACATCGCACTCACCGAAAGTCCCACATAGTCCGACACCGCGCATGCGCAGCCCAAGCGCCCTCATCCCTGCGCCCGTTGAGGAGCATCACGCATAATTTCAACAAGACCCCCCTCCCGTTCCACAACCACACCTGATGGCTTCTAGCTCTGGTCTGACGCGCCGGAGAGGAGGCGGCGGCGCTGCTGGCAACGGCGAGGACGAGAGCAGCCGGGTCAGCTCGCCAGCACCCAAGCGCAACGACGACCGCACCCCCGAAACCTCCTACGAAAGCTCCGAGAATGGCCACAAGATCGCATTCGACCCCCGGGACATCAGCGAAAATGCAGAGAGGAGCAAACAGCCCAAGCTGACACTCATGGAGGAAATCATCCTCATGGGGCTGAAGGACAAACAGGTGTGTACACGGCAGGGCGCTGGTGGGCTAGGGGCAGCAGGCTGATGAGTGAGAATAGGGATACCTGTCGTTCTGGAACGACAACATCTCGTATGCATTGCGAGGCTGCATTGTCATAGAATTGGCCTTCCGAGGCCGCGTGAGCATGCAAAAGGACTCGAATCGGCGACGGTTCCCCCTCGCAGACCGGGTCATCGAGGTTATTGACGACACGTTGACCGGAGAGGTTCTGCTGGACGAGGCCCTCAAGATGATGAAGTCGAGCGAGAAGATGAGCGTCAACTCGTGGATCGACCTCATGAGCGGTACGTCTGCGGCGCGCAATCCCAAGGCTGGTGCTCGGTACTAACTACACACACAGGAGAGACGTGGAACCTCATGAAGATTGGCTACCAACTAAAACAAGTACGCGAACGACTATGCAAAGGCCTCGTCGACAAGGGCATCCTGCGCACCGAGAAGAAGAACTTCCTCTTGTTCGACATGGCTACACATCCCGTCGCAGACGGAGGCGCAAAGGAGGAGATTCGACGCAGAGTCCGGAACGTCCTCACCAACCGCACCGTCGTCCTCCCCGGCAGCCAATTCCTCCCCGAGGAGTTGGAATTCAGAGTGCTCCGAACAATCACCATGGTCTGCGCCGCCTATGCCGCCAACGTCCTCGAGAATGCCCTGACAACGCTGGGTCACGAAGCGCGGGAACGGGCTTTTGCTCAAGTGGACGAGCTGCTGGCAGAATATTCGCAGTGGCCGTTTGCAAAGAGGCAGGGTGGCTCGCAGGGTGTGGGCGCAAACTTGGGTCAGCTCATCACGGACGAAGTTAACGGTTCCAAGGATAAGGAGCTCCAGCTTGAGGTAAGTCAATCGCTGTTTTGTTTTCCTTCAACATGACAGAGCGCTGACTATTTTACCATAGGTTGTCGCAGCATGCTTGAGTGTATTCACTCGACTTGACTCACTGCTTTGAGCGGAGGGAATACAACGAGAGCAGCGATATTACTGAGCAACAGGGGAGCGCATGTCTCAGCAGCGAACCTGCACGTTTGAGTATCTATCGCAAGCAAAGCAGACGCATATAGCCGGCGAACTTGTAAGCGGCGGCGTGTCCGGGCCGGGACTGGATGGAAATGTTTAGGTATTGTCAGTTTCTAGCATTGATGCAACTAGGATGGATCTGGAGGCGAGGGCGTCAGAGTGCGGTGACGAGGTGTACTACCAGACGCTTCTTATCTTCTTCTACTAGGCGGGTCTTTCCATAAAATACAACCTTTATTCGATAACGAACAAGGTCCACTGCATTACACGAGTGGCTTTTCCTCTGAGCTTACCGGTCTAGGTAGGCGCTAGCATTCGTCATGGCGTCACACGTGATGGGCTGCGTGGAGACGATGGAGTGCAGGTGTAATTATGTGGAACAGTCGGGAGAGCATGGCCTCTGCTTTCGTGAAAAGAACCACGCCGGGCAGAGTCGCTGGGTGCGTGGGAGCGTGCCGACGAGCTTCAGTGTGGTCATGGGCTGGCTGGCTCGGCGCTCGCAAGCGGCGGGAAGTGGGAGCGAGGCGCAAATCCATCAATGCCTCTGCCTGACACACAACACATCATTCCGAGCTTATCCACGGCCGCGACCCCGCCCAAGGTACCGCAGCAGGTGTTTCGCCGATTTAGGTTTCCTGCCAATACTCTCGCCTGTGAAAGGCTTACAGACGGGCTGCTGCGCGCTTGACTACCCGATCGGCACTTCTTTCCCTGGACAGCCAAACAGAGGCCCAGCCCAGCCCTGTGACCTGTGACGACGCGCAAATTGCATGCTCGCAAAGGTATGTGTTTTTTCTATTGCTGCTATTTATTCGCGTGATCGCGGCGCGATGCATGCGCTTTCTGGAGATGGCGGCGCGGGTGTTGCTGTCGCCATCGCATCGCACGTCCGCCCCCTTCTTCTGGCAGGCGCGACCGCTTGGGACGCCCATTGACCCACTCGAGCCTCCATCACTCTTTCCAGCCTCCATGCCTCGGCTCTAACCAGGGCAGCAACACGCAGGTCGCTCCTGCTGCGCGCATCCACAGTTCCTACGCGATGCCCTCCCCGCCGCTAGCCGACTCTCAGTCCCTCGATCCTGCCCACGGCGCGTCCGCCAACGGCATCAACAGTGAAGGTGCTGTCCAGCCCGCCAACGCCCCGACCAGCATCAATGGACCCGACGGCGCGTCCAACGACAACAACGCGATCCGAGACGGCAAGCAGAAAGCCAAGGCCGTCATGGCCGCCTCTGGTCTGAACCTCGCCGGCGCGCAAGGCGACATGGCATCGCCCGCGCAACCCGAAGCCATCAACGGCGCGTCGCCCAGCAGAAAGCGATCGCGTTCGGGCACCCGCAAGTCATCGCACACGCCTTCCCACGACGACGGCGCGAAACCCACAGCCTCGCAGACGCATCTCCTCAACCGCTACATCGAGCGCGACCTCTTGGATAGCGTAAACAAGTACGAGCGCAACAAACATTCCGAGAAGGTGTATGGCGAACTCAACGACCTGCGCCATTTCTACCGCGACGAAGTATATCCGGTCCGACGACAGAACCCCGGCGCCATCTTTGGATATGGCTACGCTGGCTACGGCAACGGCCTGACCGAGATACCTCCCGACCCCAGAGACCCGCGCGCCCTACCGCAAACCAAGCTGCTATACCCTGAGAATGCCAAGCGCGCTGGCCGTCGACTCGCACCGCAGCTCAAGGTTTCGAAAGAGAAGGGGCTCCAGCAAGCAGACCAGATTGAGGAGCTTGTACCTGTGCGCTTGGATATCGAATTGGATAGACTGAAGCTTCGCGATACTTTTACCTGGAACCTCCACGACCGCGTTACCAACCCCGTGCTCTTCGCCCAAACCTTCGTCGAAGACTTCCAAATACCGCCCGAACTGCGCCAAAACGTAATGCAGCAAATCGATCGCGAAATTCACGAGCAGGTACAAGACTACTACCCCCACGCCTTTTTCGACGACGAGCCACTGGATCCACATCAGCCATACTCGGCATACAAGAACGACGAGATGCGGATATTGATCAAACTGAACATTACGATTGGCCAGCACACCCTCGTAGACCAGTTTGAGTGGGAGATCAACAACCCTCTGAATGCGCCTGAGGAGTTTGCGAGACAGATGGCCGCCGACTTGTCACTATCCGGAGAGTTCACAACCGCAATCGCACATTCCATAAGAGAGCAGTGCCAGATGTTTACAAAAAGTCTTTACATTACAGGACATCCCTTCGACGGGCGACCAGTCGAGGATACAGACATACAAGACAACTTCCTGGCATCACCACTTCCCTCCGTATTCCGCCCGATGCAGTCAACAAAGGACTACCAACCCTACCTTTACGAACTCAGCAATGCGGACCTGGAGCGAGCCGAACTTTCAATCATGCGCGAACAGCGACGCCAGAAGCGTTCCGTCAACAGACGCGGTGGCCCTGCCCTGCCAGACCTCAAAGACCGCCAACGGACTGTTCGGACGTTGGTCGTTTCATCAGTGCTGCCTGGGGCTGCGGAAACGATTGAGGACAGTCAACTCTTCAAGGCCACGCGCAAAGCCAGAGAAGGCCGTCGCCGCGGTGCTGATGGCAGCTCAGACGACTCAGATAGTGATGATTCAGTCATGGAGTCTCCCGCACCTGCTCAATTGATGACTGGAGGCACTGCTCGTACCCGTGGTATGCGCGGAGCTGCTACTGCTGCTCAAGCTGCGATGCGATCCGCCATTGGAAGATCAGCAACTCCCGAAGTCTCGAATATCCAAACACCCCATCACGAGCCAAGGGCGTCGAGGTCCCTACGGTATGAAGCGCGGGAAGAGAGCGTATCTGAACCCACATCACTAATAGTCAAACTCCGCATAACGCCCGCAAAGTTCAGAGAATGGGTAAGGAACCCAAGAGCTTTCGTAAAGCCCGCTGGAACTCCCATGATGACACTCTCGCAACCACCAACGCGGGGTACGCCTACCGCAAACTCGATGCCTCCTCCACCGTCACCCGCCATGCCTTCCCGCTCCACACCGACAGTACCGACATCCGTTGAAGCTTCGCCGAAGCCACCTTCCACCCCCACACCAACGACACCGAACAAGCAATGGAATTACAAGCCGGATGGCTCATTGGAAGCACCTTGGCCAACGCCCGCCGCTTCACAACATGTAAGATATCTCCTTGCTTCCATGTAGTCATATCTGACCCATAACAGCCTCCCACTCCCCCAT